CCCCAGGCTGCAAAGAGCAAATGCACCGAATGGAGCATCATTCGACCACTAAGTGAGCGCAGACCAGCTTCATCATAGCTACCACCACCAACCTTGATTGGTTTCTGTGGCTGATACGCAGCAACAATACCATTAAGTGTCGGGCCATTTGATTTCGATTTGCCCGGTATTTTCACATTGTCAGGAGCACAAGCAATCCGTTTTTCACTACCACTCGGCACAAGGCGCAATAACTCTTTCAAGCTTGTAGTGGTGGATATGAGGCCAAAGGAGAACACCGTTCGGCTAATTAAATCCGACCATGAAGTTACAAGAACCATTTGGAATTCATTCAAAACGTGAGCAGACCATGATTCGTCATACCATCTCTCCATATCAAATCCAGTAATTCGAGCATTATACTGATCCACGTAGCTGAGAACAACGATAAGAGGAACACCCATGCACGAAATCAAATCGAGAATACAGTCGCATAATAGGCAAGCAAACCGCCTACGAGCCTCATTTTTCTTGAATAGTAGAGAATAAACAAATACGGAAGACCAACAATTGAGAACCAGCAAGCAGAGATAAAATCGATTCAGCAGCCAACGCGGAAGATACCAGCTCATCCTGTAGGCTTGTTGTGTTTGGAGAGCTGTCTCCACGAGTTCGCGAGCAACTAGGATGGCGTGAAAGTTGCCTCCATTTACTCCTAGCACTCCTTGTCTACCCCACACCTTCGAGTACATCCGTACCGTGCGGAATTTAGCAGACATAAGTCTTGTAGCAGTTTTATCGTTACCTGCTCTGTTGACAACAGCCTTTTTCAATGATTCTCTTTTGTTGGCACTCGAGGTAACAGTTTCAACTCCTTGAGGCCAAGGCGAAAATGCCAATTCGCGCATCCAGATCGATCCTCCAACCATCAGGAATACGCAGAGACCATGAAGTGTTGCCATGACTGCATTCGTATTCGCGATAAAGTGGTGATGCTCTGCTATCATATTTACCCCGGTGTACTCGAAAGTCGTGTACAGATACATCTTCTGGAACTCGTAGTAGAATATGGCGTAGGCGGCATTATATCCAAACGTAACCAAATGCACCACGATTATGATAACCCACCACACCGCGAAGCTACAGGGTCCTAGGTCCACATACTGCGACGAGGAAGCCAATGAAGTCACTTTCCTAGGCATGAAACGCGTCGCTAAACTCTGATGTGCTGTAGTAGTCAGAGGATTTATCAACAGAGACCCACGTTGTCTAAAGGTGGGCCCCACAGATGAAGCGAAGATGTCCTAATCCTAAAGTTAGAGCCCCGATAGACTTGGGTTGCTTACTTGAACTTGACATCCACTTATCCTGTATGAGCATTATAATGATCCATCCATTGCAATAAATAATTTCCGGAGTTATAACAAAACTGGTTCGTTATTAAAGCGTAATATAGCATTACCAAATGAGCCATTGACGTCTGTAGAGTTGTAAATGGCATTCTATTCATTTCTTTTGCTATGTCAGATACGTCTGTATGCTTGGCAAAACATTAAGCTACGCTCGCTCTGCTTCTGTAGTTTATATCGCCCCAACAGGCAGTGGTCGTTGTTCATAGTCAACCAAAGGATAACTATGACAATTGGCAAAAGCACAGCAAATCACAATGGTATTCCCCGCAAAAAAACTGTTTCCGATAATTATTGATGTCAGTATAAATTTCTTTGTTTTTACGTTCAAGATGGCCCCGAAGTCGCCTAAAATAGAAAGAGAACTAAGTCACGCCAGATCGCGGAAGCTAAATATTCTCTCATGCGAACCAAATTATTCTCCTCTACTCTTTTTAGACACAAGAAGCGTGAGTCAATGACTCGCATAGCAAAAAAATCGAGTCCCCGCAAGATGGGAGGGTCTTCGAAAACTTCGGCGCCATCATCGCAATATGTCGACTTATCGCCGTGGAGCTATGCGTGGTGGTGGTTCATTCTGCTTGCTGTGCATTTGGTTACTGGTGGTTACAATGCTGCGTTTGCTCTCTTTTACTATGAATTGAAGGACACCTATTTGTATCGCACTCTCGAGTACTCCAGAATCGGAATGTTGGCAAAAGACCATCCTACTATCACAGTAGTGAACGCGTTAATGGCTTCAATGCACGGCGGATGTGCGCTGTTGATGGTTGGTGGTTCCCTCTGGCGCCGCGAGTTGGTATTTTCCCTTGTGGCTCCTGAAAACGGCGAAAATTCCTCTACAAGAACAAAAGTACAAGCGTTTGATGACAGAGTTAGCTCTCGACTGGAGTCGATGAAGCGTCATACTTCACAAGTTTACTCAAGAGTCTGGGGTCGGAGAGGCTTTTTAGGCGTCAACGGACGCAGTTTCCACGCGATACTTCTTGGTCGAGAGCTACTGGAAACGCTACTTCAGACAATCCAAGCCTATCGGATGAGCTGGTATTTACCGCGTATGCTGCTTAACCGATTCTACCTTTTCCTCCTGGTGCTAAATTGCTGGTCATCTGTCTTCATCTATTCACTACTCAAGCGGGATGAGGCACGCAAGCGCTTCTATTGCCTCGTGTCCGATTGCATTATAGACCTGGTGTCTTCCATCGGCATCCCATTGATCGTCGTGATCAGCTACATTGGCGATTACGATTCTGAACTAAAGGGGTTCCAGTTAGAATACTGGTACGATGATGTGTGGTCCGCTCGTGTTCTCAACGAGTTTCAAATGGTTCTCGTTGTTTCTTGGTCAGACTTGATAAGTCGAACGGTTTTTTCGATTGGTCTGATTGCAACCACAACAAATCTTAAGGAACTTTTACGTAAAGTACCAGTCAAGGGCAGTAAACGACGCGTTTCAGCTGCCGATAATGCCATGGCGTTTAATAAATCGAAAAAGATGGAAGTTATCCATCAGATACGCTCAACCGTACGGTTAACTCGCGAGCCTTCAAAGCTGGTAAAGGTTGGTAGTGGTAACTACACGGGCACGGGACTACGCACACGAAGAGAGCAAAATCTGCTTTTCTTGGCGCACATTGTGTTCGGGGCGTGGGGAGTAGTTGTGCTAGGACTACATATCCAAGCATCCGTGCAGCCGGAATTACCTCAATGTGCTTTACAAGTTCGCCCATGGGCGGTTACCGAGCCAGCTTGCTATTTGGCCATCTTGGACTGCTATCACCTCGGTATCTCAGGAAAGAAAGCAGAAGTTCAAGCTAAATGGAGTGAATTCGATAGATCCACCGTCGTCACACTAGCGATCCGTCACTGCACAGCGCTAGAAGTTCCCGACTCGATCGCTGACTTCCATCTCACTACAGGTATTAAATTGTACAATTCTACCATCTACGAGTGGGGAGCGTCTGCAGCTGTCACAAACACAAACCACCCTGCCCTCATTTGGCTCTATTTCGTGCGAGTTCACCTGCCTGATGGTCGACTTCCGGAGGGTATCATGTCTACAGATTTCCCTACCAATCTGTATGACCTTGAATTTACCTACACGAATGTCCGCGAGGTACCCGATGATCTGGATACGAAGTGGCTAATTGGAACGACAGTTTACTTCGAGTACAGTGAGCTTACGAGCATTCCATCCGTGATTTTGAGACTAGATCCGTATAGTATCTCATTTACTGGAAGTCCGATCACTGAGTTATCTCCTGAGGTTTTCGAGGTCCCAGACTTGGTTTACATGTATTTGGGAAGCATACCGATTCAAGATCTACCCCCCGATGTTACGAACCTCTCGCCAGCACTGGGATATCTTTATCTGACAGACACGAATGTTTCGTTTTTCTGGTCGTGGATCGATCCATTAGTGGAAAAAACACTAGGATGGCCTCGTGCACCACTACTAATGGGTGGGTCTAAATACTGTGCTGAGCTGGAGAAGATTACAAGAGGAGAATCCACCACCTTCAGCGTGCCGCCATCGCCAGGCTATTCAATACTGATGGACGCTTCGGAGGAAAACCGAGATACCGTTTTACATACTGCCAATTGTGACATGGAGAATGCCGTGCCAGTGTACCCGATCGATCTTGAGGATAGAGTGAGCGCACTTCAATGAGATTAACAAAACATTTTTAGAGCCATGGCAGCCACTCTTGACTACCAAGACATACCAAGACAGTATTAGACAGTATTTTCATAAGCATAATACCAAAATCATAGCAACTGAAAGTAATGAGACGATTGAGACCAAAGTAAAAGAATGTAAGATGTAGAGTTTGCTTCGTTAGTCGGCTAATTGCCTAAAAAGCGGCAGTTGTACTGTCAATCTTCTCAATGGTGGTTACGAAGCAATACGAACGCTGCCGTCGAGCCTCCTCCCCCCAAGATCAAAATTGCCAGACCAATCAGCAGCCACTTTTTCTTTTCAGCTGACATCCCAGGTTTATCCACAGCCGCTTCAATCCTTTCTACATCTCTCATGGTCAGCTTTGTGCTCGCTGCTGTCTTCATCTGCATTGCCTGGGGGTTCTTTTCTAAATCCTGGACAAGGCTGGGTTTGTTCCGAACCATGTTTTTCAGCTTCTCGAAAACAGAAGGAGCTTTTAACTCGGTGGTAGGTCCTCTCTCCTCCGTGTCTGCT